AGAGGAACGCGGGTGCCGGCGCCTGGGCTCCGAAGCGCGGGCGAGGGCGGGACTGCCAGCCCAGGGCTGGAGTGAAGCAGGAAAGGCTTCCTGGAAGAAGTGGCATAAAGTGAAGGGTAAATGGAAGCCAGGCGTGGGAAGACGGTGAAGTGTGATGCTCCAAAGCATGAGCCGAGGAAAGAACCCTGCGCTCCGGGGAGCTGCAGTTGAACTTGGTTGAGGAAGATGCGGCAGCTGTGCAGACTGTGTCCAGCACGAGGGGACTGGGCCAAGGGAGCCCACGGACACCGACCTGAATCTGCTCTCCCCATCTGCCTGGAGAGGAGACTTTGTTCTAACTTACGCAAAAGTGATGTGGTCTGTAGAAAACAAAAGGGGATTCTGCCAGGAGGGTGGAAAAAAGCAAGAATTAGCTTGTGAATAGCTTTATGAACCATACTAAGAAGTTTGTCACAGAAATAAACACGTTTTATAAAATTGTTCCTATGAAGACAATGTTTAAAGACAAATAATGCCACCACTATTAGAATCATTAACAACCATGAATATTAAGATAAGCCAGATGGCGCTGCCAAGGGACTGAGCTGGTAGCCACAAGTGTGCATCTGAAATTCTGACTAAGTGTGGAATCAATACTTGCAGGGTCACTCATGTTGCCTTAGCTAACAGTTTGCTTTCTCATGCAGGCTCTATTTTGGTGAGAAGATCGGGCTATACTTCGCGTGGCTGGGGTGGTATACTGGAATGCTGATTCCGGCAGCACTGGTTGGCTTGTGTGTTTTCTTCTATGGAATATTTACAATGAATACAAGCCAAGTAAGGTAAGCTGCTAACAGACCTATGAAAAATTGTTGGCTTTTCTTCTGATTGGACAAGAGCTTTGTGATAATGCTGACTGTAAAAACAAGTGATGGTACTAGAATTTACTTGGTTTTTTGTAGGGGAGCATCACATAAAAAAAAAAAAAAGTAATTTCTCTATTATTGTTATCGGCAGGGTGGCCTCTGTGTCCCCACCTGTGGTTGGTGGAAGTGGAGTTCTTGGGGTGCCACAGGGAAAAGAATTTCCTGAGGCCCCCATGGGAGGAGGAAGTATTGTGGAAAGCACTATTGGTGATGTAAAATTAATGGGATTCCCTTCCAAGGTGCTATCTCCCTCGATCTCACCATCGAAAAAGGCCAGCCTTGTCTTCAGCAGAGCTAGGATTAAAGCCACTGCCCAGGGTCTTGGCTCCATATTAAAGCACAATCCAGTCCAGCATCAGGCTAAGTTAGCTTGTGTTCCCAGCTTCAGTCCATTGTGTATGGGGTCCCCATGGCCATGGGCCATGCAGCTGCTAAGGGTTTGCGCATGGGCCAGTGCAGGTCACGGAGCAAGGGAGCAAGGGCACAAGAAAGCAAGAGCAGAACAAGAAACAGAATTCTTTTCTGGGGATTTGAGCCTTCTAAGATTTTTCATGCTTGCAGTGGCTCTACCCCCTAGCCAGTTATCTTTTTTCCCAGGTTAGACTGACAGACAAGCACCTTCCCTACATCACCCCAACTTATTGCCTGTGCCCATTTCCCCCCTTTGTTTGATTCCTTCCCTCAGTGATCTGCAGGGAATGGACAGGTGGTTCCCTGGGGAGCATGAAGTTGCAGCTTCTTGGTGAAGCTGCCCAGATGACCATGCTTATAATGTCTGGCCTCCCCTTTGCTCTCTTCCTATTACTAATGTTGGCTAGCTAATTACAACAATAACACTATTATATGCAAATTCTCTTGCATAAGTCCTAAAATTGTTTCTATATTTGCCAAATTTCTCTTTCTAGTATATGCCACATAATAATTCAATAATGCGATAGTTTTATATAATTTACATCTGCATAGCATTTGGAAGTCTAGAATGCCCTCTCAATACATTAGTTCAAATAACTATATAGTTTACAATTCTTTTAATACTTCCAGCATACAAAGACCTTCCACATATGTTGTTTCATTTAATATACCCTTTGCTACCACCTTTGGGGCGAGTATTCCTCTTTGCTGATGAGGGAAACTTACATGGTTAAAGGTATCTAACCCAAATACTCATCCCGCGTAGACCTTGCTCTAAGCAGCCTGCTCTCCTGAGAACAGAAAATCACTTTCTACTATCTGCTTACACTATAGGAACAGATACTGTAATAATTTTTTGCATCAACTTAAGAAACCGAGATGGTAGTGAAATAAGGTTCAACAAAAATCACACATTTATCAGAATAGTGAGTCTTCTGTTAAAGTTGAGTGACTCAAGATCAGGATATGGGAACAATACATTATCATTCAGCAGAGCCAACACTCACCGTGGCACTAAAGACTTTTAACAGCATGTTCTACTTGATATATCACAAGGATGTCATTAGGTTCAGCCTTGCCTGATAAAATTCAAAATATGAAAACACCTCTCCCCTCCTTCAAAGCTCAGCATTTTTTTCTCTTTCATTCTAACTTTTAATCTTGGCGTTGCCACTGGGTGTAGTAATCATGACACTTAAAGGAACTGTGAAAATTTTTCTTGAATTTTTAAAAATATGTATATAATATTCATATGCATATGTATGTATATGTGCAACAGTTTTCCCTAAAAACAAACTACTTTCATTGTCCCAGAGATGAATCCTGCTCCACAACCAGCTTCCTTGATTTGGTATCTCAGCATGAAGTCCAAGTGATAATTGCATGAAAACATAAAAATCACCTACTGTTCAAAAACATTTCATCTAGTCACAGGCTTATTTCCGAGTTTGGCAAAGTCACTACCACTCTGGAAGGCAGCCTCTTCCTGTCCTTCAGTTTATTTAATCACTGTCTTATAGTTTTCAGTGTATAGATCTTTCATCTCCTAGGTAAAGCTTATTCCTAAGTATTTTATTATTTTTGATGCAATTGTAAATGGGATTGTTTACTCAGTTTCTTTTTTTGACAGTTTGTTGTTAGTGTATAGAAGCACAAGCGATATTTGTATATTGATTTTGTATCCTGCAACTTTACTGAACATGTTTATTAGTTCTAACGGTTCTCTGGAAGAGTCTTGAGGGTGTTAGAAAAACACTCTTTAAAATGAATTAACACAGACAGAAAATGATTCTTGGACAGTTACCTACAGTTCAAGTTGGTTTCATGGGTACATATTCACAAGGTTTTATTATGTTGTGTAGACTCCCCCTTCAGCCCTACAAAGCTGAAAATGAACAAAAGGCAATGAAAGGAATAGATTTGCTATTCCTATTGATTTATGTTCCGATGGGGTAAATTAGGCCTCTTTTGTATGAGATAAGTATTCTTGAACCTTTAGTACAAGGAGTGTTAAAAGGCGTTAGCAAACTCTATTCTTCAGTGCTTTATGGTATTATATTACTGCTACTTCTGTCACTATAATTAAGAGCTTGTCAGTCAGACTTTCTATTCTAAATCAAGATAAGCTTCACTGAATATCTTGATTTTCAAAATTTCATGGAGCTGAAATTTTCCATTCAAGGTGTCAGATGTAGTTAAGTTGTAGGTGTTATCACTGCTGGTGGGGAAGGACACAGGGCTTTTATTTTGTGTTGCTTTGTTTTAGTATAATTTTATTAAGCTCTTTATGTTTATTGCAAAGAAACCAAATGTTCCAAAGCTGAGTATTGGGCTGAACTTACTATGTTTCTACTAGCTATGTTCACATAAGTTAAAGTCGTATTTCTTAATTGTCCTGCAGTAGAATTATGTAACAATGAAGTTGTAGATTATTTATTGTATGTATATGTACACGTATATTTACATGCATTCATTGGTCTTACATAATCAAATGTGGTAGGATTTGTGCATGAGAAAGGATATATCATAAGAATATGAAAATGAACAAGCAGGTAGATATGACCTGCTTCTCAGGCCCTGGGTTTCAGGTCCAGAGGAAAGAACAGACACCCCAACTTTCTAGTCCATTCTTTCTCTTTGGCATTAGAATTCATCAAGAAATGTATGTGGTCCTCAGTATTGACCAGCTTTTCAAAAGCAGTTGAGTCCTCAAGGACCTCGCATATTGCCCCCTGACAACACCCTTAGTAACAAGGGTTTCTTTCATTTATTAACTGCCTGTGATGTGTCAGGTGCATTATCAGCACCCCTTATGTAATATCCCAACTAGATATTGTCTCTATCTAGAGATAAAGAAATTAATCCTCAGAGAGGTAAATCACTTGGTCAGGGGAGACAGCAGTCACCCTGGCACTAAAGGCTCTTAACAGCATGTTCTATTTCAAAAGGTCAGCTAATTTTCAAACCTGTATCTTAATACATTTTTAAAATTGTGGTAAGAACACTTAACATGAGATCTACCCTCTTCAAAAATGTTTAACTGCAGCCCTGGCCGGGTGGCTCAGTTGGATGGAGCATCGCCCCATACACCAAAAGGTCTGATCCCTAGTCAGGGCACATACCTAGGTTGCAGGTTGATCCCAGGTCAGAGTTCATAGGGGAGGCAACCAATCAATGTTCCCATCCACCCCC